AAGGACCGCCTGATCCAGGTTGTGTGGCTGTATCTTCATAGTTCTAAAGATTAATCCTTGTTTTACCTGTCTGTTCAATGTCTGTACACCGTAAGCCGGTCCACGGACATCAAATAGCTGGGAACCTTCATGTTAAGGTGTAACGGTGGCTCCAGTGAGTACACTGTCTGAGTTTTTTGCATACAGTAGATGGCGCCAAAATCAAACTAAAAATCATTTACAATCCGTACCGAAGAATGAATGAATGTCTTTTATTGTCACTATACACATGTATAATGAAATTAAGAGCAGCACCTTCAGTGCAAACATGTACACATGACAAACAAACAAACAGTGCAAAAGTTCTGTAGCGCTATATACATTTGGAATAAATAACTGAATTGGGTTTTAAATATATGAATATCCAATGTGATATGCAGTGTATTACATGGTAATAATGATCATGTGATATTGCACAGTATACGGTATTGCACAGTTATCAATACCATCTAGGTCATGGATATTGCACAGCTGATAGAAGGAAGTCCAGGGGTTGGGGGGTTAGACTGTGTAGTCTACTGTCCAGTCAGTGCATGTGTACGTTTAGGGTGGTTCTTGAGTCTGTTTGTCCTAGCTGTGATGCACCTGTAGCGCCTCCCTGAGGGCAGCAGGTCAAACAGATCAGAGCCAGGGTGGGAGCTGTCCTTGACGATGCTTTTTGCTCTGCTGGGGCAGCGGGAGGTAAATATCCATCAGGGAGGGGAGAGGGCAGCTGATGATCTTCTGTGCTACCTTTACTACTCACTGAAGCCTCTCCCTGTCTGCCATGGTGCAGCTGCCGTATCATACTGTGATACCATACTGTGATACCATACTGTGATACAGTACGTCAGCAGGCTCTCGATGGACCAGCGGTAGAAGGTCAGTAGCAGGTTGGAGTCCAGGTTGTGCTTCCTGAGGATCCTCAGGAAGTGTAACTGCTGCTGAGCCTTCTTGGTAACTGCTGTGATGTTGTCTGTCCAGGAGATGTCAGCGGCGATAAGGATGCCGAGAAACCGGAAGGTGTGGACCCTCTCCACACACTCGCCATAGATGTAGAGGGGGGCTACGTCGGTGCTGTGCCTCCTGAAGTCGACTATGATCTCCTTGGTTTTCCTGGTGTTCAGAGCCAGATTGTTCTTTGAGCACCAGGCAGCCAACTTCAGGACCTCCTCTCTGTAAGCTGCCTCGTCTCCCTTTGAGATGAGTCCGACCACTGTGGTGTCGTCAGCAAACTTGACTATGAGGTTGTTGCTGTGGGCCGGACTACAGTTGTGGGTATAGAGACAGTATAGGAGGGGGTTCAGCACTCAGCCTTGTGGGGATCCGGTGTTCAGTGTGCGAATGGAGGAGGGGGGCGAGTCTCACAGTCTGGAGCCGGTTGGTAAGAAAGTCCTTTATCCAGACACATGTGAGAGAGGGGAGGCCTAGAGTGACCAGTTTGGTGATGAGAATGTCAGGAATGATTGTGTTAAAAGCCGAGCTGTAATCCACAAAGAGCATCCAGACGTAGCTCTGCTGCCGCTCCAGATGGCTGAGCGCAGAGTGGAGAGCTACGGCGATGGCATCTTCTGTGGATCTGTTAGCACGATATGCGAACTGTCAGGGATCGTAGTCTTGGGGGAGATAGTCCTTGATGTGCTGGAGGACCAGTCTCTCGAAGCACTTCATGATTACCGGAGTGAGGGCCACAGGGCGATAGTCGTTTAGGCTGGTGATGGGAGTCTTCTTCGGCACTGGTATGATAGTGGCTGATTTTAGGCAGGACGGAATGACTGCCTGGGCTAGGGAGAGGTTGAAGATTTTGGTGAAGATGAGGGTGAGCATTGGTGAATGTCAGGTCATGGTGAGTCTGGAGCCTATTCGTGCAATCATGGGGCACGTGAGAGGGGACACCTTGGTCAGGATGTCGGTCCATGACATGGTAGACACCATGGGCATTTCAGAGTCACCATTTCACCTATCCACATGTTTTTGGAGAATCCAGGGGAAATCTAATTAAACTCCATATAGGGAGGGGTATCAAATCTACCACCCTAGAGGTGTGTGGCTACAATTGTATCCTCCACACAATTGCATTGCCCTTTGTTACTATGAACTGTCATTTTATTTAAAAACAGTTTTTATATTCCATTATCAAATGCTCTATACCGGAGGTCCTCCCAGTTTCTCTTATTCTGTAATGCAGTCAACCTATAACTCTAGCAGAAACTTTCTTGCACATAGACTCTTCCATCTTCATGACACTAACTCCATAGACTTAAGTGAACTGTGAAATGAGGTGGCAACAGACAAGTGAAAAAAAAAAACTACAAATCCTCCATATACGGTTTCCATTTTGGAACAGGCCGGAGAGGCAAAAGGTGTGCTCACTCTTCAAGGGATCGGGGGTTCATACACCACCCATGTTCTGTACAGCTGTCTGTGTGTCTCTGAATGTTCTGCCTGGGTTTGAGTGGGTTTCTGCCGGGTACAAAGACATGTGGGCACGTGAATAGCCTTATTTTTATACAGCCCTTCTAGAGAGGTGCGTCCGCTCCGAAAGGCTGCTTGCTCACCGAGGCTCATGTAAGAGACATTGATGTATTTTTTTTAAAATCTGTGATAAAAGAAGGGGATCTGAAGACGTTATTTTTGGGGGAGGAAAAAACCAAGGCAGGAACATACTTCTCAAATGCATCAACAAATTAAATGTACAGTTTTATGCAAATTAGTTTTATTTTTAATGCACACACATTTTCACAAAGTTTGTTACCCTGTTAATCTCACACTGTAATATACGGTTAGTCAGGCAGGAGAATCAGCACAGTGTGGAATGGGGGGGGCACAACCACAGAGATCATCATTACATCGTGTTATATAATTATGAAATTAACCACAAACACCACAATCTAGTTTGCATATTTGAAAGCACAAAAATTCCACAATTACAAAAATAGCCCTCTTCCTCAGAACTGCCTTTACTGTTTTATTACAATATAATATAACAAGAATGCACTCAACTCTCCATTTTCCAACCGCTTATCCAGCTAGATTCTGCACCAGTACACTAGATTCTAAACATCAGTCTACTGATCACTGGGTTAGTGAAAAATCACCTGTGGAGATCTTACTCTTAAGTGCAGTATCACATGGGGATGACTTGTGGATACGTGTCACTCCTGTAGGATCCAGCATACTTTGTCGACTGCTTCAGCTGACTTTAGTGAAGGACATTTGACATAAATCGGTGACGGCTGGTCAGGCTGTAAAACATTAGCATGGGATTCTATGTGACGCATGAGGCTTCAGCGACACATGCAGGGTTTTGGGGAAGAAACACAGGTTTGGTGCTGGGGGTGTAACATGGGTACGGAGGTACGGCTTTGGGAAGGAGACTCTGATGAAGGCAAGACAAATGCAGGATGTGGAACATGGAGTCTCGTTTTCAGACTGAAGTCAGAACCTGGTGTATGAACTTAAATGGATCATGAAGTTCAGAAGAACATATAAACAAAATCCTGAGCAACTAAAAATCCTTGATATTCTGTGAAAATAGCATTAAAACACAGAGATATTTGGGAAACGCTGTTTATTTTTAATCTGAGTACCATCAGTGTACCTACAGTC